GGCATCTCAACCCGTTCAAATGTTCTACTCCCCACCGCTATTGTAGAAGTTCTGGACAATCGAGGGAACTTTCAACAATTACGAACACTCTTGGATTCTGGATCCCAGAGCAACTTCATCACACACAAATGTGCTAACCGTCTTGGTCTCTCTAAATACCAGTTGAATTTCTCAGTTCAAGGTATTGGACATACAAACACTCTCATCAGTTCTGAAGGAACATCCTGTTTGATAAAACCCATAGGTCAAAGTGCTCCTACGTTCAATTTAGAAACAATCGTTATTCCGAAAATTTGCGGTGATCTTCCCAATATTCCCATCTCGCTGTCATCGGATTCTCCTTTCAAGAATCTACAATTAGCAGATTCTAGATTCAATATCCCAGGGCCTATTGATCTTTTGATAGGTGCCGACCTATTTCCACATATTGTGCAACCGGGACGCTGCACAGGTGATTCAGAAGACCCTGTGGCCTTGAACTCAGCCTTTGGTTTTATCCTGATGGGTAAAACTTCTACTGAATCATGTGTTTCTCCTCAAACATTTATTTGTTTCGATTCTACTCTAGAAAATACGCTACAGAAATTTTGGGAGGTAGAAAGTGTCCCTAGTATTAATTGCTTATCCCCTGATGACCTCCGCTGCGAACAAATATTTCAAGACACCTCTTATCGAGACGAATCTGGCAGATTTGTCGTATCATTGCCTTTTCGTGATGGCGAACCTTCTTTCCCTGGTAGTAGAAATATTGCTATGTCACGTTTTCTCAGTTTAGAACGCCGTTTACTAAGAAACCCCACTCTTTTCAAAGATTATTCGAATTTTATGAAAGAGTACCTAGATCTTGGTCACATGGAACACATAAATCATTCAAACACTGATAGGAGTTTTTATGTCCCTCACCACGCTGTTTTGAAACCGTCAAGCACTACTACCAAACTTAGAGTGGTTTTCAATGCTTCATCCAAGTCTCCTGGTCAAACCTCTCTCAATGAGTGTCTTCTTACAGGCCCAAAACTTCAACGCGATCTTTTGACCATTTTATTACATTTCCGATTGTATCGGTACGTATTCACCGCCGATATAAAGCAAATGTATCGGCAAATTCGCATTCACCCTTCTCACACTGATTATCAGCGTATTTTATGGCGTTTTTCACCCTCAGAACCGATACAAGACTATCGCCTACTCACCGTCACGTATGGATTTTCTTGCGCTCCATACTTGGCAATAAAAACTCTCTTAACCTTAGCTGATCAGGAAAAGGATAATTTTCCTGAGGCAGCAAAAGTTATTTACACTCAAACATATGTTGACGACATTGTCACTGGCGCCTCAACCTTGGAGGATGCTCAATATTTACAAACACAATTAATCACGTTACTAAAGAAGGGTGGCTTGGAGCTCAGAAAATGGGCAGCAAATGACTCACGCCTCCTGGACACTCTTCCCATCTCCCACCTTTGTGACGAAACACTCGCACTTAATTTTGAAGCCGACACCCCTCTCAAAATTCTGGGACTACGTTGGAACCCATCTTCGGACATATTTTCCTTCGCGGTTCAATCAATAGATAATACTTGCACAAAACGCAATCTCCTGTCAAATCTTGCCAGAACCTTTGACCCCCTCGAAATTTTGTCTCCCATTACGTTCTTCGTTAAATTTCTCATTCAAAGATTGTGGACATTGAATCTAGGATGGAATACTACTCCACCTGATGATATAAGACGTATCTGGGAACAATATACCTCAGAACTTCCTTCTTTGACTGCTTGCAAACTCCCTCGGTTCATGTTGATAGAAGATTCGAGTACGTATGAGGTTCATGGCTTCTGCGATAGTTCAGAGAAGGGCTATTGTGCAGTCATATATTTAGTCCAGGTTTCCCCGACTAATGTATTTTCCACTCATTTGGTCTGTGCCAAATCAAAGGTTGCTCCACTCAAACGTATTTCTATACCAAGGTTGGAATTATGCGCAGCTGTTCTCCTTGCCCGTTTACTATCTTTCGTCATGAATGTTTATGATTCCGTTCTCCCCTTCAAGAAAATATGTGCATGGTCTGATTCGTCGACTGTCCTGTGGTGGTTGAATTCCTCTCCCCACCGATGGAAAAATTTCGTTAGTAACCGAGTCAGCTATATCCAGGACAAAATTCCACGTGAGAGTTGGTTTTATGTTAAATCAAATGAAAATCCGGCAGATGTAGGTTCTCGAGGGATTCTCCCCTCTTCTATTTTGACTCATTCCCTATGGTGGGCGGGGCCTCCTTTTCTAGTCGATCCTAATCGTAATTGGCCTCACTTACCTCACGGTTCAGCTCCCGAACAAACACTCGAAGAGGAACGAAACCTCACACTTGCTGCTACCGTTACTCCTCATCTCTTAGATATATTGCTAAATAATGTATCATCTCTGAATCGCTTGAAACGAATATTTGCTTATGTCCTCCGGTTTATCAATAACTGTCGAAAATCTTCGCGAAATCAATCTGGATGTCTATTGTCAACAGAACTACACCAATCTTTGACATTTTTTGTCAAACATATCCAAGCCATAGTCTTCAACGAAGACATATCTCTTATAAAAAAAGGTAGGTCACCGTCTAAGTCTCTTCGCAAACTCACTCCATTTTAGACGACGAAGGCATTCTTCGAGTTGGTGGTCGCCTGGCTCATGCTCCCATCTCCTATGAAAGACGTTTTCCTGCTCTCTTGCCGAGTAATAATCGTCTCACCAGTTTAATCATTGATCACTTCCATGTCACATACCTTCATGCAAGTATCCAACAAGTTCAATACTTGGTTATACAACAATTTTGGATTCTGTCCTCCAAACGTGTTATCCGACGTATTTTGTCAAAATGTCTCAAATGTTGGAGAACTAACCCAACTACTCCTCAACCTCCCATGGGAAACTTACCATCAGTACGGTTATCTCAGCTCAAACCTTTTTTACATGTGGGAGTCGATTACGCTGGACCCTTCACCATTACCCTTTCCAAAACACGTGGTGCAAAATCAAGTAAAGCATACTTGTGTTTATTTGTGTGTCTGGCCACCAAGGCATTGCACCTCGAGCTTGCCTCAGATCTATCTGCAGATGCATTCTTGGCAGCGCTACGCCGATTTATTGCACGCAGAGGTCGAATTCAACATATTTATAGTGATAACGGCACTAACTTTGTGTCAGCTAACAAACAGCTCAATAATTTTCTCAAAGATGCAGCTCACAAGGAAACCATTGCCTGGAGTTTCAACCCTCCTTCAGCACCTCATTTTGGTGGACTATGGGAGGCGGGGGTGAAATCTGTGAAAACTCACTTAGCCCGCGTTATAGGCGCCCAGGTGCTATCGTACGAAGAATTGAATACTGTACTTATTCAAATTGAAGCCCTTCTTAATTCGAGACCTCTCACCCCAATTAGTAATGATCCCCAAGATCTCACCGCTTTATCTCCAGGTCACTTTCTCAACTTGGAACCCTTGAGCGCTCCCTTAGAAACCAATCTAACTGATACTCCAATAAACCGTCTTAACCGCTGGCAGTTGTTGCAACGTATGCATCAAGACTTTTGGAAACGATGGTCCCACGAATATCTGCATACATTGCACCAACGCTGTAAGTGGAATCAAAACAGTACTCCCATAGCTCCCGGTGTATTAGTTTTGATTAAAAACGAAAATTTCTCTCCCTTAACTTGGCCATTGGCCCGCGTCACGGAGGTACACCCTGGGAAAGATGGGGTAATACGCGTAGTTACCCTCAAAACGGCTGGTGGCACATTCAAGCGACCTGTCGTAAAAATTTGTCCCCTTCCTTCAGAAGCTTAGAAAATGCATTACATGCATTTTGGTGGGCGGAATGTTCTGTTTTCACCATCATAAATTCATAGTTGTATTGTGTTGTAATTGTTAGTTGATAATATTCATTCCTTATGTTATTTTAATACTATTCACTAAACTCATCCTCCCTGTATGTCTGCTTTCGCGAGTCCGAGAGTTTAATGTTAAGGCCGCCGCGAGCGCCCCCTGAACTTTTTGGGTATAACAAGTGAAAAGGACAGACGATTTTTGACTTCGACAGCTACCGCAACCACGTTTTGTTGTTGTCGAATCAATCAATTTGACTCTCATGTTTTCCCACTGATCTTGATATATTCAGATTAACTTTCATCTCATCATTGATCTTATGATCTAACAATTCAGTGATTTCCCACCAATCTTAGTTAAGTGATTTGGCGCGTACTTTAGTGACGTGTAACAGGACAAATTAGGTGCGTGTTACCGAACTATCCTGTGCTTCTGCTTTACCGCCGGCCGGCTGCAGTTACGTGTGGTTACGTCGTTGGAAGAAAACTCGGTAAGAACATCAAACTCACGCACAACGCATACATCAAAAGCAGTCCACTCAAAGTCAAGTGAATCTATTCTCGCTTACAGCGAAAAAGGGATATTCACAAAACAATTTATTTTGAATTTTTGGAATAATATTTGATGAAAAATGCGATTTCTATCAAAAGGTGATGAGCCTGACCCTAAAGAATTTGAAAAACTTCTTCTGACAGTTGTGACTATTCAAAGCTGAACAGCAGCCAAGTTTTGGTCGATTTTTGTTAATTCTCCATGGAAATGTATGTGATGTAAGCAAAGTGCTGCGAGAAAAAATATTTTTCACAGTATGAGCAATACATGGTTTTGAAACTAAATTAGCTATGAGAAATGCGCTACTTTTCATAGCAGTAGTAGGAAAAAATTATTTCTGGCCGGATTTTTAGGTGCGTGTACGTGAAATTAATCCTGGCGGCGCCCATGCTTATATCGTTTGTATGATTTCTTACAATAAGATGACTATCAGGTCCAAATGTCAATATTCCAAACATGAACATTATAAGAACTCAAAATTAAACATATTTTAGGAAACTAATATAATAAGGAAATATTATTATTATAGTGAGACTAGCTCGGAAACTAACTGACTTCTATTTTCGATTCTAGAATAATGGTTCTAAATCTTCTCAATCTCTATTCCCTCATTTTTGCTTTGTTCGATAAGATAGATGATATGGTGAGTTCTCAATAACGTTTTTTCAAAGTTCATTTTATATTACATGTATTTTTCAGACAGCAGAACAAGAACAATTTAGGAATATAACGAAGTTGATGAATGAATCTTCCACAACTCTTCGTACTACTCCATTATATACTACCTCAAGCATGGATGCAACTACAAGTATTCCTTTCATAGAAACAACAGAGTGTTATGAAGAATGCTTAGTAACTGAAATAGGAAGAGAATTGATAGCAGATAATCTTATATCGGAATTGTCACTCAACGTTTCAAATGTAGCCATTTCACATTTGGAACAGCTCATCATGGGTTTTGTTACAAATATATCCAGTGCTTTGGATACAGCTAACTCAACTTTTCCAGTTAATTCTTCTTTGATATTCAACATCAGCGATTCCACGAATGAAACTTTGTTGAATATAATACAAACTCTGATTCCAGAATCTAGCTCCACCAATATGAAAGATATGTTCATAGATTATCTCACTTATATTTTGTATTCTTTGAATGATTCCAATTCAACAATGACATATTTTGATAACGATACAATCATTCCAGAAGAGAATGTCACAGATATACATTTCTCTACAACAAGCAGCTTTGAACAATTCACGACAGTTTTTCCGTTTTTGGATAACTTGACTGGAACAAATCAGGAAGACATATTTCTCACTTCCACCTTATCTAACATACTAGATAATGTTTCTGCAACGCTCAGTACAGTGAAGGAAAGTCCAACGAACTCGCCAAATTGTAGAAATATTTGCACAGTAGTGAAGATTCCATTAGATACTGAAATCAGTAGCCCTACCATCACCACCACAAGTCTGGAAATCACTGAGATGGGACTGAATTACTCTATGCAGGCGAGACTGAGAAGTCTTTGTTGGGAAACTATGTTCGGACAAGAACTGATCAGGCTAACTTTAACTGATCTAGTGATGACCATAGTACCAACATTGGGCATGGACTTTTTTAGAGGAATATTTGTTAGATATATGAACAGGTCAGTTGTCTCCATGAGAACACCAACTACCCATATACAGTGTCATTCATAAAGTCGGCATCATATGGGAAAAACTTTTATTAATGACTTATTTTGAAATTCGAGTTGAACGTTGAGTTTTGCTTCAAAAAAGATGCAAAACGGCCTACTCAATCGGGGTCACGTTACTTTCACTACATGTCAAAAGTGACATTTTTTCAAATTAATCGCTGAAAGTAGGCTTATTTGTTCGAATATCGAAAAAGTTCACTTGAAAAAGTTGTTTCTATTTAAATTTCACATATGTGACTCGGATTTTATCTTTCTATTACATTTTTTGTTTGCATCAAACATAACAGAATTTTGAAGCGGAGATTATCATTTTCTGATGAAAATCATATTTTTGTCGATAATTATAGTGATAATTAGTAATTGAAAGTGAGTAGCATGATGAAGCCACTGGTATGAAGTAGTTTTATCGAATTTACAATTTTTTTTATATTACAGAAATTTCGAAAATTTTTAAAGAATATCGAAATCTAAAAAATGTAATAGAAAGATAAAATCTGAGTCACATATGTAAAATGCATATAGAAACAACTTTCTCAAGTAAACTTTTTCGATATTCGAACAAATAAGCCTAATTTCAGCGATTAATTTGAAAAAATGTCACTTTTGACATGTAGCGAAAGTCACGTGACCCCGATTGAGTAGGCCATTTTCCATCTTGTTTGAAACAAAACTCAACGTCCAACTCGAATTTCAAAATAAGTCATTAATAAAAGTTTTTCCAATATGATGCCGACTTTATGATTGACACTGTATACATAAAACTCACGAAATTAATTTCCAATTCGGAATGGTATATTCTTATACCTTCTAATTCTTGTAAAGAGAATATAGGCATTCTTCTCGTGAAAGTATATCTATCTGAGTATCATTTTCTTAAATGAGCTATAACATTACATTCGCTATTGCACTTCTTTAACTTTATGAGTTTTCATCTCATATAGGAATTGCCAGTCTTATGATATTAACACATAATAAGATAACTAGTGATGGGTGATACCAGGGTATTTACAATCAAGGAAAAAACTGTATTTATGAGGATATTTTGAAAGTTTATAAACTTTTCAACAGAAAACATGGAAAACTGCAGTATTTTGACAAGTTCAATGTGTCGAACAGGTTTTTAAATTTGACAACCTTTTGAATAACCAAAAACTCTGACAAAAACAATATTTAGATTGAACAACTCTCCATGAACTCATCAAAAACGAACAGTGCTCTGGTATATATCTGGTGCTGGTAATCTGGTACTACAGAAATGGCACTCTGGACAAAAAAAACTACAATATACACCCAGGCAACCAGGTGACGAATGATCACGTCACTGTGACGTCCCTTATTGGTGATTTTTCGTCATAGACGTCACACACCAATTTATGACGTCACTATGACGTACTTTCTATGACGTGATAATCACGTCATCCTTTCGACGTCGAGTGAACGTCACTTAGATGGGTAAAAGGAGACGTCAGTTTCATGACCTTCTCTAAAACATGGATACTTATATATTAATTATCATGTGGAACAGAAGTATAACTCATGAAAGCAAATCAACATGCAAGTTTTATTGATGTGGAACAGAAGTATAACTCATGAAAGCGAATCAACATGCAAGTTTTATTCTAATTATTAATATACTCGAAAAGTAGTAAAAAAACTTTTTTCCAACAAACTTTGACACACTGTATATCTCGAAAACCAACAAGCTATGTATATATAAAAATGATTGTATAGGTATACCTATATATTGAAACCGTTACTCTTATGACGTTGCAGTGACGAATCTATGACGTCGAAGAATCACGTCGGTGTGACGTACCAAGTTGGTGAGCTTCGTCATTTAGGAAATTGTTCAATAATTTGCTATTAAGATCTTTGTTGGGTGACAAAGAATGCATCAATATACATGATTCAACAAAGTGAAGCCAAATTCGCCAACATTTTTTCCATTGCTATCAAACTATTCTTTGTTTGCTTACATCTCGCCGACACAAACTACACAATTTTTGATACAAATACGAGTAACTGATTGCATTTTGATGGAGATGCGTACTGAAGGATGGCGCTGCTGATCAGGCGATTGAATGAACATGACACAGGAGGGACCCACCAAGCAGGCTAGTGGTGTTCATCACACCATGTTAATGGAATCTTTTTCACGTATCATCGACAAATTCAATCGTCATTTTGACTTCATTATGACGTCAGTCGGACGTCACATTTTGGTGAGTGAATGACGTCAATAGCACGTGAGTAATATGACGTCATTGGGCTGTGACTTATTCACGTCATTATCACGTCAATGCGACGTCAACTACTGACGTCACCTTGGTCATTCAAGTGACGTGAAAAAGACGTCACTGGAACGTCATCTGGTTGCCTGGGCAACAAAATTTATATTTGAAAAATAACTACCCACTTATGAAACAGAATGAAACTTTTTTAGTACATGTTTTGCATTTTCTTGACATTTGGGTGTTTGTATTCGGTTTTACAGTACCTACATTCAACACCTTTTTTTCTATAGTAAATCAAGACCAAGCTGGATATTTTATCATTGTATTCAGATTGGCAAATTACAAAAGTGAAACTGTGAAAGTGAGGTTATATTATTGTTTTTCTTCTCGTTCTGCTTTTTTTTCTATCATCTGGCGCGATAGAGGGGCGATTTCAAACATTTTACTACGTTTACACAGATTTTGTGCCGTCGATATTATCAAATCGTTTTTTATAGATACCCGCTTTTGAGTGGATATTTATCATAAGAGTAAATACCCGGATAAATGCCCAATTTATGAATACCCAGCTACTGGGTAGATACCCACCGCCCATCACTAGAGAAAACTTATGAGTAGGTAACCACCACGAAAATGAAGCATTAAAGTTATTTTGTTCAAGAAAAATGCTAACTCCTATCAAGTGTGCATCAATTTTCGTTTGGTCAGTAGAGAAAGTGTTATATTTTTCTTTTGTCAAGGTGCTGGTGTTGGGATCTCGAAAAAAGGTTTCCTCAGTATGGTGACTTCAAAGTGGCAGAAAACATTCTGTCGCTAGTGAACAATCAGGGAATGGTATGGATGGGAATGTTCTTCTCTCCAGGCATAGTGCTTCTCAATGTTATCAAATTGTACATTTTCATGTACTTCAGAGGTTGGGCAGTCATGACATGTAATGTACCACATGAAGTGATCTTCAGGGCCTCAAGGTAATCTTCACAAAGGATGTTTGTAACGGTTTTCCAAATATCAATTTTACAGGTCTAACAACTTCTATTATGCGCTGTTGCTGATGATGCTCTTCCTCTGCGTTCTACCAGTTGGATATACAATTGTATGGATAACGCCTTCATGGCACTGCGGTCCTTTCTCTAAGTATCAGAGAATATTTCACATATTCACCAAGACTATCAGAAAGTCTGCTCCTAAAGCCCTGCAAAGAGTTTTGGACTATATCGCCTCCCCTGGTATTGTGATTCCTCTTCTGGTTCTGCTTATCTTGATCATATACTACTTGGTCTCATTGACTGGTGCTCTACGAGAGGCTAACGATGATCTCAAGGTATAACAGTATTATTATTTAAAGGTACCTTCATCAGATATCTCTGTAGAAATATATGTTGATTCTTATTTAGATTCAACTTCGCCGGGAGAGAACAGAAGAAAGAAGAAAAATGTTCCAATTAGTGGATAGAAGAAGAAGAGGTGGCTCTGGGGAATCTAACGAACTATCGAATACTCCATTCAATAAATGGAAGAAATTACTGGGCAATCTTCCTGGAGGAAAAAGCATGGATGATACTACCCCAAAACAAGAAGAAAATGATATTCCAGAGGCACCATCAGAAGAAGAACACAATGAAAATAAGAGTACAGGTATTTGATACATCGGTATGAAATTATCATTTTAAAAACTGATTTCATCGTAGATTTCTTCAGCAAACTGATAAAGAGAGCTTTACGAAAGTCCTCAACATCAGATGATGAACAGAACGCAGGAGACGGTACAGATACAGAACAACATGATTCTTTGCCATACGACTCTACCACTTCCAGACAACAGGGAACAGTCAAACCATTCTCTTGGAGAACTGCAGACTTTCAAAGCATTGCCAATAGGGCACTTCAACTGACCAAAGTAAAACCAGACAATAACTCAAATGATCGTGAATATCCAAGTAGTCTGAAACAAGACGTTGAGACCAGACCTATAAGTAGGCAGAATTCTGATTTAAGGAGAGATATACACAGAAGGGACTCTCACCTTAGTAAAATCAATCAGCCAACTACTTCTAAAGGTATCAGGCAAGATTCTGAGTCTTCAGTCTGGTCTGATGGTATCCCTGTCATAACTATCAGCAAAACAGGAAGTGCGGAAAATATTTTGAAAAAAGATGAGGTTTTCAAGAATCATGAAGTGATGCAACAGGAAAAATTCAAACCACAAGTGAAATGTGCGTTGAAGAAGCAGAGTGCTGAAGTTGATGAAGAAACCATACGCTTTTTCGACAACGACTTGGAAAGGACTAAAGCTGAAAATAGGGTTTTTAAGACAGTGGCAGAAACATGGGATGGTTCGAATCTAGATGTATCTGATACTTCTCATAATGATAATGCTGATTCAAACAGAGATGATTTATTGACAGAAGTGTCTTCTTCTGAGGACACTGAACAAAAAGGCAGTAGTGCTGATACGATTCTACATGCTCCATTTCCATCCGAGGATAATAACTGATGGATTAAAATATTGAGCAACAATATCAATTTTTTATATTATGAGGAGCAGGAATCTTGGAAAGTTTCACACAAATTCAAAGTCCATTTGAAATTGGAAGTTTTGCATTTAACTCATCGATTCTAATGTCGTTGGTCCTAATATACTGAATATGCCTTCGAATGGTTCATAGGGTGACTCTTGCCGAATTTCACAAAGACAAATGGTGAATAAAAGAAATCGAGAAATAATCGTAATATGTTTATGGAATAGTTTGTCTCTATCTTGTGCGGGAAGTGACACTTGCCGTAGGTAGTAGTAATGATAGATAAGTATGTTGAATATCACGAGACTAAAGCGGATTGTTTTATTGCACGAAACGTTGGGATCAACCACTCGTGGATTGAGTAGTTCCACTACTCTATTTTTTTAACTCAAGGGAACATTTTTAGTACAACTTGGTAAAATTTCAATGATACACCAGTTGATTCAGTCAGTTTACTTTCAAAGATAATTAGGTGACTCAACAACGGTTTCCTAAATATAAAATTGGTTTTAGCCCTGGCCTAGAATGGCATCTATGGAATGACTAAAGGAATCGGTTGCAATTGCGAATTGTGGAAATATGTTGTTTCAGGATATGTATCTTTTCAATAATCAGAATGGAATTCTTTATGAATGAAAAATTCACAAAAAGTGGAACGACTAGGGGCGAATTGATTCACTATAATGTGAATCATATTGATTATATAATTTTTTCCTACGACCAACTATGAAAACAGCACAAAACACATTGATTTGTTATTGAGAAAGTGACTCGTTTCATTATGACAACATATAACAGTTAGAAAGTTCGAAAGTGAAACTCACATGGGTGGAAATATTCGAAAATCGCACAGTAACAGGGTCTATAGATTATGATGTACCAATAAATGATTATTGTGCTGAATTATGGTTAGTTAAGTTATGGTCAAGTTAATGGAGAGTTAGTGTCAATTTAACATTGATTTATTGTCGTTAATGTTGACGTAATGTTAAGTTGATGAAAAGTTGAAATCAAGTTAATTTCAATTGAAAGTTGAATTAGTGTCAATGTATTGGCAATTTAGTGATTAATGTGAAGTTATTGTCAATTTGCTATTGAGTTGATTTTAAGGAAATGTCAAGTTAATTTTGAGTTAATGTTGATTTAATGTTGAGTTAATGTTGATTCAATGTTGAGTTAATGTTGAATAATTATTGAGTTAATGTTAAGTTGATGTTAAGTCAATGTTAGGTTAATTTTAAGTTGATGTTGAGTTGATGTTGTGTCAATGTTAAGTTAATTTCAAGTTAATGTTAAGAAACTGTTAAATTTATGTTAAGTTGATGTTAAGTTGATGTTGAGTTAATATTAAGTTCATATTATAAGTTAATGTTGAGTTAACGTTGAACTAATGATGTCATTCAAATATTGAAGTCAAATTAAATAATAATGATAATGATATCACCTTCATGTGATCGAATATAATTAGAAACATGATCCCTACTCTGATCTTATAAACACTCATGACTTATAATATAAATATTTGTGGTCGTAGGAAGAATAGTGTACAAAACTCGTTGGAAAGTGCATTTCCTGTGCTCGTTTCGTTTTCGCACTCGCCGCTCTGCGGCTCGTGCTAAACGTCTACTCGCGCGAAATATGTCACTTTCCACACTAGTTATATAATATACTATTGCCAGTGCCATGTTCATGAGCTGATCTTGATTTCACCTGTGACAATTGTCTTCTACTGTGGAAAAGGTATTTTGAATGAGGTATTTGAGAGATAAAACTATAAGAACATTATTCTGTTGATATTAAAGCTGATGTGTTTATCCAAGAATTATAGTAGGAAACATATCTACATATATGTATATTCACTTAGAATTAGCAGCAGCTAAGCAGTGTAGATTCGTTCATTTATAAAAGAGTTTTATATCATACCATGTTTTTCAATACATAAAACCTCCGAAAACCTTAATTTGACAAAAGACCCTTATACATCCAAAGTGGATACTTATTTCACATCGAAGCGAATAGTTACAGATTGACCTCTTTTTGTTCTGCGGGCTGAGAGAGAACCATTATACACAGCTTGTTGGAAAAAGCACTAACTCGTGATCCTCTCTGGAACCTCACACTCTTACGTCATAAATGGAATATGCTCAATTAGTACAACCCATAATAATTTCGGTGAGAAAATGTAAGAGATATGCTCTAGAAATATTGTTTGAGTAGATCACAAGCTTCTAGCAGTAACACTCGATAAATTTTATAAGATTCAAGAAGCGCAAATTATTGGAAATTGATTTTCACTTTGTTTACCTATATTTGTTATCTGATCTCGTTTGATATTCATGAATATCTGAGGGAAAAGTATACTCAATTCCTTTTATACAACAGGGTGAGTCGCGGGAAGAACGCACCAAAAATAATTTGGAAAAACCAATATGTTATACGATTGTCATTTGTTTTCATTCTATAAGACTTCAATCATACAAACTCGAAATAAACGCGTCAAATACACTGACACCAACAAATGTCATACAAGAACAAATGGGTTTCTTCAAATTATTCTAACGTGTACAACACACATCTGAAAAAAATTCTTATTCTACGTGTGATGAAAATATCGATTCTTTCTCGGTTTATTCAACAGAAAACAACTACTCTCCTGGTTATATGCCACGACGAATATTGGATTATATATCTATTGAACACACACGATAACAATTTGTAAACAAAATCTTCTGGAGTGGAGAATTTGCATTCTCCTTCATATAAAGATATGCTTATAATATAATTCTGAATATTCAACACAAAACAACTATTTTCAAGGCTATTTGCCACGTCGAACATTGTTCTGTCGAATATCCAAAAAGAGAGCATGAAAAATAAAAATCCTCTGAAATTGGGAATTGACAGTCTCAAATCTGATAAATGATATGATATATTATGATATCAAAAAATAACTTACCAATATGTTCAGTATTGAAATGAAAATTGAAATGTATAGGAGAAGTATATTTGTATATGATTTTTATTTTTCTTGCCTCATTGCATTTGGATGTTCAACAGATATAATTCAATGTTCGACGTTGCGAATAGCCAGAAAAGTAATTGTTTTCTGTTGAATATTCAGAATGATATCATGTGCATATACATATTTTCATCAGAAGGAGAATGCTGATTCTCAAATTCAGAAGATTTTGTTTTCAAATTCTTATCGTGTGTGTTCAATTGATATATAATCCAATATTCGTCGGGGAATATAGCCAGGAAAGTAGTTGTTTTCTGTTGAATAAACCGAGAAAGAATTGATATTTTCATCTCATAGAGAATGCGAATTCTTAATGTATTTCTTTATATATATATATCAAATTTTTGATGTAATAATATCAACGCCGCCAATGAAGATCTTGCTCAAATTCCAGCCTAGGAAACCAAAACACTGATTGAGTTCAGCGCTACCGAAAATTAAGCCCTTATTTCTCTGAGAAAGTCGAACTCACTATATGACTCATTTGAAGTTTGGTTCGTTCCCACAAAGTCTACAGCATCTCTCGTACATAAATCACGAGTAAGTCCCCAAAACGTACTGTGAACGTCCGGTCAAGACGTTTCGTACGTACTGGAGACGTCTAGATTAGGTACAGTAGACGTACCAGGTACCTACTAGGGACGTCCAGAATCCGCGCATTCGTACATCTCCAGTAAGTCTATTTCAGGTCCATGAATACCTGAACCAAAAAGAGATCTAGACAGAGTATAGAAAACATCTCATTCTGGATGAAAAATAAAAAAAAACAATTACCGGGCAGATGCTCTACCTAGTACTTTACAAAACACTCATTGGTATATCAGTATACAACAGAAGATTATGTGCGAATGATGAATGACGCTTCAAAAAAGAGTTATGAGAATTATATTAATTTGTTGGCAACCCTCTTAAATGTTGTTCAGAAATGTGGTCTATAATTCCGTCACTAGACGCACTCGACAAGCCCAGTCAGCACATCCTAATGTTTTCTACCTCACTGTTGATAATATATGTTGAACAACTCACTACATCAGAATTCGTTTTCCTAGAGAATGGTAAAGTCATGAAATTTTTTGCCTAGAGAAGAATTCCAAAAATCTATAACCTTCAAAAATTCCCTCTGTCTTAGACATGCGCGTTCTTTCACGAATATTATAGGGATTCCCTTTCGTGGGCCCCAAAAGACAAAAAAAAGTGATATGCTCTTCGTGATTGAATGAAATCAGAAGCCTGCAGCTTCACATCGACAGAAGCGCACGGTTAATAATATTTCATTCGGGAAGCCAAGAAACCGGCTGAGCTAAAGTTGCGCTATTACAATCGCACAGCCGCCGTATTTAGACCATCTTGATAACCGCGTGGCACAAAAAATAAACAAATCTCGAATTAATAACGATCTCATTCGATAGTTTGGCTGATAGCCTGTATGTTGCTACTAAACATTGACAGACGTAGGAAATGAAGGAGGCAATATCGGAGTCGGAGTGATATTTTACCGAAACAATGTTTCTGGGGTTGAGAATGAGTGAATGGTGGTGGCTACTTTGTGTGATACAGTGGAGGTTTGGACAAGTTGTCAGTGTCAGCTCAACGCCGGCGATTGGTATGAAAGGCACAAGATGTTATGATGACTTTAATAGGCCACAGGTAGGAATTTGGTTATTGACAATTGAAATCAGATATTATTGAGGAATGGTACGGGAACCGAATCATCTGCAAAATCATAATTGAGAACGACAATAACAAGAAATAAATTATGAAATATACAGTGTGTTTCACTTCTGATGGAAACACCCTTGTATCTTATGTAATCATTGGGAAAGGATCCTGGAATTTGCTGGAGCGAGAGGTATATCAAAAATGCCCTATATGACCAAGTGGAGTCAACTTCAGTTATTTACACTGCTTACACAAAATATATGTTCATTCCAAATAAGCGACCTATTCATGAAGACAAAATAATTTAATTGAAATATTTGCTTACTTGAACAAAAGTTTCATTTATGACGATCAGATTTTGTTGAAATTACAAAAAAATTTGCAATTTCAAATTTTTTTTTCTGTGTTCATGTGGTTTGACCTAATATTTCATTTATTCAGGATTTCCTTAATGATCTTATACATAAAATGTTTCTGTATCGTATATAGATGCAAATATTGTTACAGATGTTTCTTGAAGTTTTAACAGATGGATAATCCTACATTGCAACCATGTATTGCTAATTTTTCTGAATTTGTTTATTGATTGAAAAGCTTGTGCGTTTCCTTAAACCTCAGAAAATGAAGAATATTGCACGTTTTATAGTCTTATGCGCTCACATCGAAGCTCACATTCTCTAGACAACCGTTCCGGATGCCAGAATCAGGCTCGAATGAACATTCTTCTTATAAAAATGTGTGGTCCTTGGTTGGAATCCTATTTATTCCATTATGAGCTGTAGGTCCCCATCTTCCTAGCACTTTGTGACATAGAATTTTTTTTCATGAAAAATACCTAGCTTCGAAAGTACCGACAATTATGTAGGTCTAAGATGTTCTGATTGACATGATGAGTTCTTGCATGACATATATTCCTTCTTTCTTTTCATTCAGGATATCTTCCTCTGAATTGGAGAAGAAGTTCCACATTAGAAGTGAAAAACCCAGTCTTTCTGCCAATATCCGGCCATTCAGCAAAATTCTCGGCAAAATTTGAAGAATTTTGACGATGGACCTTCAGCTCCAGTAGCGTCAGCTGGTGTAACTAAAAATGATAGCCTCCATTCGGGAATGTTGAACTTTTTTATCGCTTAGAGCGCACGAAAGTGAATTCCTTCGAAGAACATCGTGCGTACCTAGGGAGGATAGAAACGTTACACATTAGCAGTAAAAAACCCAGTCTTCCTGCAAATATCCGGCTATTCAACAAAATTCGGAGAATTCTGACCATAGACCTTCAACTCCAGTATAGCTCCAACTGGTGTAAACGATGATATTTGCTTTCATTATGCAATCTTGCACTTTTTTCATCCCTGGGGGCGCTCGAAAGGGAATCTCTATAATTTTCTAAGAACATCGTGCGTATCTAGGGAGGGGATTACCGACAATTGGACGTGGTCAATTGGACGTGGTCAATTGGACGCACGAAAATTAGACGCGGATAATTGGACGCGGCGACAATTGGACGCGGTGACAATTGGACGCGGCGACAATTGGACGCGGCGACAATTGGACGCGACGAAAATTGGACGCGGCGACAATTGAGCGCATGCGAAAATAAAAATAATTTTATAATTCCAATGAAATTTATTTCATGGAATATGCAGGGCTCATATCTATAATATAACAAATACCTAACCTAACCTAACTAACCTAAAATATTGTACTATATTCGTATCGTAAATTCATATTACGATATGAGATAGGAAAATAATTGTCAAACGAGGCCATAGGTATTTGTTATAATTATGGATATAAGCCCATCAGTATTTCATATTTTAAACAATGAATTTCATTGGAATTATAAAATTATTTTTATTTACGCATGCGTCCAATTGTCGCCGCGTGGAATTGTCGCCGCGTCTAATTGACGCCGCGTCCAATTGTCGCCGCGTCCAATTGTCGCCGCGTCCAATTGTCGCCGCGTCCAATTGACTGCGACCAATAGTCGTGCGTCCAATTTTCCACGTCCAATTGACGCGACACCCTAGGGAGGATATGGAGAGGAGGTGGGTATTGGAATTTGTTGGAGATTATAGGTTCTATAGTCAGACGAGGTTCAATGAAGTGCTGTTTGACATATTTCGAGTTTGACAACGAAAGGATCTGCTGACTATATAGGCTTCCGAGTTCGTCTGAGTGCCATAGCTATAGTGATAAAATGCTTACAGATTTCTGAAGTACATTTCTGGAGGAAGTATCTATGGAAAACTGAACTCCTCCTAAATCAGAAGTGTCCTCGAAAGTGACTTCACGCCAAAGAAGACTACACAAAAAAGGAGAATTTCTCTACTTCAAGCGGGTGGCGGAAATTTGATCGAAAGACAAATGATAGAAAAACATTTGATAGAAGTCTTCTGATCGAAAGTGTTTTTGATAGAAATGCATTTGATCGAATGTTTTTTGATAGAAAATACATTTGATAGAAACATGAATGATAGAAAATACAATTGATAGGAAAAATATTTGATAGAAAATAAACTTGATAGAAACAGCATTTGATAGAAAATTCAACGGAGCTACGCTCAAGTTAGGTCAGTACGTTTGTGAAGATATGATCCTTCTTCATATATTTGAGACGAAGGAGCTAGATGGAAATCGAAGCTTATAAATTTATTGATACTACAAACAAGTTCTACGTCTGTACCGAATCAAGAATGACTGAACTACAGGGGTGTCTTCATCTTAAGTGTGTCACACTGTATATAAAACCATTCATAATGTGAGTATTTTGCATGATTGTTCAGAAAGAGTATCAACCTGGAAACTGAAAATGAAGATTGACGTGTTCGACCGTTTTACATTCAATTAAATTGGTTGGGAATTTTCCAAATTGATACATTTCATATGCGTCGTGGATACCTATACAGGGTGATCCACGGTGGATGGCCTATTAGAAGTATCTGGAGAACGAAAAGACAGAACATCCTGAAAATTGGGTTTCTTCGATAATTGAACATTCTCTATCCGTCTAAAATATTTTCATCGATACAGTGTTGCCACTTCTATCAGCAACAACTAGCAACTTTGTTATTTCAAATGGAACACCCTGAATTTTATTGCATTCTTAGATTCTGTCTGAAGAGCTTATTTCATCAATGTTTCACACTTGGGGTCTAGCAGGAATGATTACAGAGATATAGGGTGTTCAAAATCGAGATTTTTCAATTTTAGGATTTTTTTGTGTCGAAACTATTCATTATCGATCAAAACGGCTCACATGTCCCTATCTTCTGATTGAATATCTACTGGAATTTGATTGGAAAAAATACAGGGTGCTTCAAGATTCAGAATTCTGATCACCCTGTATCTGTTCCAATTAAATGTCAGTAGATAGTGAATCGAAAGTTAAGAAGGGACATGTGAGCCGTTTTGATCGATAATGAATACTTTCGACAGAAAAAAATCCTAAAATTGAAAAATCTCGATTTTGAACACCCTATATCTCTGTAATCATTCCTGCTAGACCCCAAGTGTGATACATTGATGAAATCAGCTTTCCAGGGAGAATCTAAAAATGCAATAAAATACAGGGCGCTCTATTTAAAATAACGAAGTTGTTTCTGATAGAAGTGGCAACACTGTATCGATGAAAATATTTTAAACGGATAGAGAATGTTCAATTATCAGAGCATCCCAATTTTCAGAATGTTCTGTCTCTTCGTTCTCCAGATACTTCTAATAGGCCATCCACCGTGGATCAGCCTATATCCCACCTTCGAAATAGACTAAAATAATCGGTCTGAAGAATTGAGTTGATTTAAGTATGGAGCACTGAACCCAAGGAGCGTTGTGTGACTAAAAATAGTATCTATATATTTGTATTGACATTCGAAGGAAGAATAATATTATTCGTATTCTCCTTACCCTATTAGCGTTTCAATACTTGAGTGAACATAATCATTTGAAACAACACAATAACACTTGGGAAAACGTAAACAAATGTGAAGTACTTATTTACAACCTAATGAGTGAAGTGATAGGTTCTTGGTACTTTCTATACGAGTAGAAAAAATACTTTATACACGACCAGGAATGAAGTTGCACTTCAGCGCCCTTCAACAATGAAGTGGTCTGGCAAGCATTGCACTTGCACTTATATGAAGTAGCATTGTAGTGATTTTATAGTTTTTCCAGTCATTTGATCTTCCTTTGCCAGTGGAATACATACCTAATTCATCTAGAAGAATAATTTATCAATGAATTCCATATTGACACTGAATAAATGCCCAAAACAGTTGTGCATATAATTTTGTATGCATCTCATGAGTAACTAACATTCATGGACCTATATACAGGGTGATTCACATAAGAACCGACATAGAGCAGGGACATGTAGGAGTTCCCAAAATATGGCAATTTAACGCAACTTACCTCTTTACCAAGTTGCTTCCCTAAGGAGTTATAGGCTTTGAAAGTGAAGTTATAAATTTTGAAAAAAATCAATATCTTCGTTATTCGTGAACTTAAAGCAACCAAATTTGGTACACTTTGTGGATGTATTTTGGGCGTTACTTGACAGTAACTAGAGCTCAATTGAAATTTGTAAAGGGGATATACCGGGTGGCGCACCATTAATATTCAACAGAATTTTGTTAACCCTTGATGAATTTCAAAAATCTTTGCTCTGTTGTGTGGGCAATTCAATTCTAAAACTTTTCTTACTCTAGTAATTTTTCGAAAAACCTCATCATTTTCATCAAAAACTCGAATAACTGAAAACGCACACTCTAGGTGTGTTATTTAAAATCATCGAAAATTCAAAAGTTGGCTATGAAAATAAACGTACAACAAGAAAGTAGGTCATTAATTGTGATCAGTAGAAATTGGCTGGCAAATTATCATTTAGATACGTAACAAAATACGTAAAGTAAGATACTGAAATGTGAAAGACTGGGATTAACAACTAACCAAAATAAACACAAAAAACTTAAACAACAACCAGAACAAACAATTGTTTATTGATGAATTACTTAATTGAACAACTTACTTGCTTCATTGTCATGTTTGACGTTTATTTTCATAGCCAACTTTTGAATTTTCGATGATTTTAAATAACACACCTAGAGCACGCGTCTTCAGTTATTCGAGTTTTTGATGAATATGATGAGGTTTTTTGAGAAATTACTAGATTAAGAAAAGTTTAAGAATTGAATTGCCCACAAAACAACGCAAAGATTTTTAAAATCCATCAAGGGTTAACAAAATTCTGTTGAATATTAATGGTGTGCCACCCGGTATACCCCCTTTACAAATTTCAATTGAGCTCTAGTTACTGTAAAGTAACGCCCTGAATACATCCACATAGTGTACCAAATTTGGTTGCTTTAAGTTCAAGAATAACGGAGATATTGATTTTTTTTTATAAATTTATAACTTCACTTTCAAAGCCTATAACTCCTTAGGGGAGCAACTTGGTATAAAGGTAAGTTGCGTTAAATTGCCAAATTTTGGGACGCCCTACATGCCCCTGCTCTATGTCGGATCTTATGTGAATCACCCTGTATATCGGGGGGTCACAAAAAAACCGGAAGTTTTTATTTGTCTCGTGGTTTCATCATTTCTCAACCGAATTCGAATTTCTTGGCGTCGTTTCATAGCTAAAGGGCTATAGTATACAGTGGAATATTTGAAAATTTTATAATGAACAAAAACAAAATGGCGGATTCTACCAAAGTATTGTCTTTTACAAAAACCGCTGGAGAAAAAGTAAATCAGATTTTTTTCAACCTGTACCGATGTCATCTTAGGCTATTCATTTCTGAAGAGAATGAGTACTCGAACATCGAAATCGAACAAATAGTCCAGTAGATACACTCATTTCTTTGCAATTTGTTATGGAGTGAATGTGCTAATCTCGTATAAACGATTATTATTATTTTGCATCAGGCTTCATGAAAATTCAATCGAATTTGGATTTTTTAGAGTTATTTCAAAGATAAAGAACTGTAGCACACAATGGAACATTTGAAAATCCAATAATTGAAAGAAACAAAATGGTGGAGAATCCAGAATTTTTGTGATTTTCAAAAATCTCTGGCGAATAAAAAAATGTTTATTCTTCCAATCAGGACCGATACAATTTAAGATCATTGATTTCTAAAAAGAATGAACACTCGAACATCTGAATCGAACAATTAGTCCAGGAGAAACACGTTCTTTTTGGCAAAGTGTTATGGAGTGAATGTGCCAATCCCGTGATAAGAATTACTTTTAGTTTGCTTCTGGCTTTATCAGAATTCAATCGAATTTGGATTTTCTATATGCCATTCCAAAGCTGAATAGCTGTAGTACACATCTGAAACATCTGAAAATTTCATAATTGAAAAAAAAAACGAAATGCTGATGGAGTTGTAACTTCCGGTTTTTTTGTGACCACCCGATAAGTGTTTGTTATGACTCGCTTCGCTCGTTCTGTTACTTATAGGCTCTGCAGTCCATGAACGTCTATTTTTCGCCATTGATTCATAATGATTATTCGAAGTAGATAAGCACGTCATCAGATCCAAAATGATTTTATTTCAATCTTTTCTGATTCACTGACTGTCACAACGAATTTCCAAAATTTGTCAACAGAATCATCTCCGAACCCGAAAACCCGCTGATACCAATTCTGGATAGAATCGGATCATAATTACAAAAGTTCTCCGCCATATTGAAGCCGCCATTTCGTCTTTTTGTATAAAAACAATTTCATGTTGCATTTTCACCAGAATTATCTACACTCTAGTTGGAATCTAAGAGCATCAGGGTATGTTTTGGTGCTGAACCTCATGTGACAACAGTATTCTAAAACTGATCGCATATAATGTGCTTCGTAGATCATGACTATGATCATGAATATGAGAGCAAAAGCAACTACTTTCCTGGCTCACTTGTATCAGTATTCGTTTATACGAGTCGATGCACAGATTTCGGGAGGATGTAATTCAATGTTCTGCGTGGCATTAGCCAAGGAAGTAGTTGATTTCCTCTCGAAATCTACCATTGTTGTTTATTTTATAAACACTGTGTGGATATGACTTTGAGCTTTTTGTATTTATTTAACATTTAATTTCACTTTGGGCATTGTGGCTATATCGTAGTTGGAATCTCTCCATCTTAGGAAAATCCCACAATTCCTTAAAATATCCCTAGATTGCTACAAATCTTGTCAAAATTGCTTCGAATCTCGCAATATCCAATCTGCACACATTTTGTTGAAAGTGAGACACTCCATCACAAGCTATAAAAATAAAAAAATAAGAATAGTAGAATGAAATAGATACAACCACAAATATTTCATATTGATAATAAAATATATTTCAGTTTTTTTTTATTGGACACTATTTATTTTGAACAAACTAACCTGAGTAAGGGGAATATACTGACAATCAAACTTTGATTAGCTGTGCCGGTGCCTTCTGCAACGATCCAAAAAAGCCCAGCGACGTCAAGCTCTGTCTATAAAAATGCACAAAGTACAAGAAAGTGAAATTCCTATGAACATTTCAGAAAAAAATCACATTAGAATAAAAAATACATGTTCACTCAAAGAAGGGAATTTATTTTTTCAGAGGTGCATTCCTGAGTTCGAGAATGCAGCATTCAATGTTGAAATGGAAGCGACGAACACATGCGGTGAGAAAGGAGTTATGGAGTATTGCGTGCAAACAGGCATAACTGGAGTGAGGAAATATTGCGAAGTTTGCCGTCCCAATCAACATCATGCTCACTTCATGACCGATTTTCATAATGAAGACCATCCCACTTGGTGGCAGTCAGAAACTATGCTAGAGGGTATTCAGTGGCCGAATCAAGTTAATTTAACATTGAAATTAGGTAAGATAATAGAAGTCTACTGTAATGTGTGTTATTCTTGTCAGGAATACTTAATTTTCATTGATGATCATCTTTGATATTTTACGTATATTCAACAGAAAACAACTACTTTCCTAGCGATATGCCACGACGAACATTGAATTTGATCTACACACTCGCAATAGACATTTGAGAATAAAATCTCCTGGAAATTTGCTTTACAGACCTTTAATTGCAGATTCATGTTTTTTTCTCGATTCAGAATTTCTTTTCCACTCCCGGTATGATGAACGTCAATTCATCGTACAGCTGACAAAACCTAAAAAACCTACATATTTCGGTAACTAAGAAGCCATCTTCAGTAAAACTGAAAAAGAAATTGAGTTTAGCTGACCATAAGACTAAACCGTGTGTTTCTCATGAGCGACTCACCCATTTAACTTTTTTATTTCAACAGATAAATAAATGAAATTTGGTGTGTGAGTAGGTACAGTTCATAAATGAGCACTTTTGACGTACCTATACAATTAATTATCTTCTGTCACTTCAGGTTTGACCAGAAATTACCCTTACTTCCTTATTTTTAATGGGACTCGCGGTATATTTTCGCTTATTTCAATAGAAAATCACATATTGAGTACAATGACACCCCATTTGTATGTTTTCGACATTTACCATCCTGAAATTTTCAATTTATCTTTCAATCTAGACTCTAGAGTGCCATAAATGAGTTAGAACGGTTAATATTGCCAAGGAAAAGTAGTTTCGATAACGTTTCACTCTTGATTTTTCTTCACAGATTAAAAATCGTAATTATGATGTTTACCCATTATACTTAGATATAACAAATTCTAATTGTGTGGTATCAAATACAAATAGTTAGTAGCATGATTTCCTCTAGAAGCTAGCTTCTCAGATATGGTATTGAGCCACGCTCGTTCAATTTGAACGAATTGATAGTTAACATCATAATAACGTTAGCGTGAACTGTAAATGAACGTGTTGAAGAAATGAAAACTGAAACTTCATCGAAACTATATTCCATTGGCAACTTGATCCTCGATTTGAAATTCACCGTTTCAACTTCATGCAAATTGAAGATTTCAGTATAATTTAATCGTCAAAAAGTGACAAAAGCGGTGAAATTGTACTCAAGATGTGATTTTCTGAATTGAAGTGAAAATGCATCAGGTATTCCATCTCCAAATAGGGAAGTAACTTATATAAATATTGGAAATTTATAAGGAACAGATAAAAGCAGTCCCTTTGCCCAGGGGTGTCATTTCAGTGAATACCAAGGGGAAACAAGAAATCCAAATAAAATTTGCGTGCGGTGAAATAGCGCTGCAGGCGAAATTTTTATTGGTTCAAGGTCAAGGGCAATCAATTTGAAAATTCAGAATTCTTCCACAGTTCTCACAGCTCCATCACATTGTTATATTATAAGTTATACAGTTTCATGATCTTATGGTTTGTAACTCATATAAAATGATCTGAAAATAGAAAAAATAAATAGTAAGTGTAAAGTACCTATTATAAATATTCTGTGTAGGTTAAACAAGCAGATGAATATTTGCCAGATCTTTCAGAGAATTTCTCTCGTAGTTTCAATACATGAGGATATCTCAATGACTTTGAAGATTTATGTCAACTACACTGGTTGAGCAAGAGGTTGGGTGGATGATTTTCATCGATCAAGGGATACTTACTAATTTTTTCAATCTATCGAAATATTTCAGAGATTCCCTAATCCACTCAAATTTTTTCATCTCATCCGATTCAACAACTATCACTTATAATAGGAAAATTTCTTGTCATAATGCTGAAGAATTTTTATATTTTAGAAAATTTATTGGCTTCTTCATTCAGGTATATTTCATATAATATCTACCATAATGATAGTGTTCCAAAAATATCGAAAAAAAATATTTTATTTTTCAATTTTGATTACTATCGCATTACTGATTCGTTAAAAAGTATATGTTCATAGGAAGTTTATTCATCATTTCAACTAGTACTATATACGCTGTTAAATTTTCCGTATTAAAAAACGGACCACCCTGTATATTATTTTCATGTGCTTACAAGAACGTTCCAAGAAGAATGAACATTTTGTAGGGCAACTGTACCCATCCCCCCCCTAAATGACGCCCATGCATTTGTCAAAACCTAGTATTATGCTATTGAATCCACTTATGTATTGTTATTTCCAGATGACATTGTATATCAGCAAATAAATCTTCGGTCATGATTGCTCAAATTACTTGAATGCGTAGGATTCAATTTGCTAGACAATGAGGAAACTGTTTACGATGTGATTTAACAGTAGTAAATTTTATTTCATCCACCATATATACAGGGTGTCTGTAAAAGGTTGGGACACGGCTCGGCTGTGGACTCCTGGGATAGATACAAGTTGATTTAGACCAACTTACCTATATCCAAAATGGTCTCTTTGAGTTGGTACAAGGCGTTGAAGATTTTTTGGAAAAAAATTGCTCATAAAAATTGCTCTGCAGACTGAAAACTTCCAGTTGTTTTTCTCCAGAAAGATATTTCCTTCAGAAATATTTTTTGTAAAATCCCAAATAATCTAGCAAAACGGATATACCACCTCCTCGATTAACCTACATACAGTATTTAGAAATTACAGGGTGTTATTTAAGTACATGGCCAAACTTGAAGGGGTGATTCTTTGAGTGATTCTTAGACGAAAAGTTCATATAAACATAGGTCCGGTAATGCTTCGTTTTCAAGATACAGGGTGTCAAAATTTTTAAAAGAAATCGTTTTTTTCCTAAATATCTTAATAACCCTTCGACCGATTTCATTGAAATTTGGCAGTGTTATTCAAGGTCGTAAAGGGCTAATTTAACCCTAACTATATCAAAATTATCATGTCCAGTGGCGTCCCGGAAGGCACTGTAACCAATATTTTTGACACAAAAAATGTGCGCCACTGATTTTTTTGCAATTTTTGTATTTGTTCCACATTGAGCAACTAAAATTACTTTCTTATATCTAGAATTGTTTTCGTATCTTGCTTTGTTTTTGAGAAAAAACATAAAAATCACTTCATTGCACATCCCTGTGACAACACAATAAAACATTTCAACTACTAAACCATCAAAAACTGGGGTCTTACTAATATTTTTGATATAGTTAGGGTTAAATTAGCCCTTTACGACCTTGAATAACACTGCCAAATTGCAATAAAATCGGTTGAAGGGTTCTTAAGATATTTACGAAAAAAACGATTTCTTTCAAAAATTTTGACACCCTGTATCTTGAAAACGAAGCAATACCGGACCTATGTTTATATGAACTTTTCGTCTTAGAATCACCCAAAGAATCACCCCTTCAAGTTTGGCCACGTACTTAAATAACACCCTGTATATTCGTTTTTGATGTGTGATTGCAGGTAAGTCTTTCGACGTTACATACGTTCGGATCTGGTTTTGGTCTCCACGTCCAGAAAGCTTCTATATATCGAAGAGATCAACGGAGAACGGACCTTGGATTCCGTACCAATATTACAGGTATGTTATCATAGGAACGTCTCGTTTGAGTCAATTTTCGATTCGCCCAATTTTCGACATACTCGAAAGATGCGTTGTTTTCAAATACACATTTCCTCAGATACAATGAAACGGGAATTATCAACAATTATTTTACATTCAGATAATATGTCGTTGGGCCAACATTTCATTTCACCCAAATTTCGATTCTTTTTTTGTATGTTCTGGTTCACACGAAAAGGGATATCCCGTAATGTTCAGAGAACATCGTGGGAACCAAGGGAAATGAGGTAGGAATTGGTGTTCTTCTTAAATTTCTGGAGGTTATATGCTTCGGGGAACACCTCCCTTGGCAATGTGTTCCAGAGCCTTGCTGGTCGTTGGATGAACGAGTTTTTGGAAAGAGATGTTCTGCAGGTCTCCAAAGTAACGAAGGGGTGCGAAGCTTCAACTCGACGGGTTAATCTTGTGGGGACTGCCAAGGGAGGTACAATTGTTGATGTTTCAGAAGAGCATCGTCCATGGAAATATCTATAAAATAGAGCCAGAGAAGTGAGTGAGTTTGTGAGGGAGGCATCACCCACGAGACGAATTGCCCTTTTTTGGATAGAATCCAACAGTTTCAGGGTATGTTTGGATGCTGCACTCCAAATATGGGAACAGTTTTCCAGGACAGGTCGGATCAATGCCTTATAGATCATAAGCTCAATTCTCGATTCGCCCAATTTTCGATTCCTCCAATTCTCGATTCTTCCAAGTTTCGATTCGCATAATTTTCGATTCACCCAATTTTCGATTCACCCAATTTTCGATTCTGTCAATTTTCGATTTACCCAGTTTTCTATTCGGCCTAGGGTCCCTTGATGGAAATTGACGTTAATGTCATCTTAACAGGGTACGGACAGATCCTCGTCTCCTCCCACTCTAAAGTGTTTGTGAAACAGTTATATAGTTCCATCCTCATTCAATTCTGGGGATAAATACTAGATTTTTGACATTCGTTGTTTTTTAGGTTATATTGAGGTCACTGGCGTATCATACGTAATTTCCATATGGAATTCCTGATTCAACTATACCAATATATAGATGAACAATCCTCTAGTTTTGTAGTTTACTACTCCAGCATAATCTTTGCAAGATATGGAACATCTAAATTGTATTGAAAGCTTAATATATTTCACCAAAAGAGACTGTTCTTAGACTGTATACCAGGGTTGACTGAATGAATTATGATTTCCAGCTGAGCAGTAGTTCATCTATGAGCTGAATGAGCTGAGCCTTATGATTGAGAAATGGTGGAAACCTCGATGATGTGGGTATCTAAACTACTGTACTCATGTCATGTGTGTGCTAAATATATTTTAGGAAATCCAACTCGGAGAAGAATTTATGGAGTGACTAATATCACACTATGTATGAAACTTCGTCTAGGACGAAAAGTAGGCTGGTAACAAGTAATACGTACAATGTGCAGGAAAATAAAGAATAGAATATACATTACCCCCATGTTATACATATGATTTTCCTGTCTCCCTTAAATGAAAAGTAATTTTCGAATAATTCATTGATGAAAGTAACGAAGAAGTAGGTATATGCAGTAGGTATAACTTATAGGCACGTTATTTTCCGTCTTGCATCCTACATATTTGCTATTTGTGGTAGAGTAATGATTATATAAACTAATGTCTTTCGCCATATTGGATTCGTCATCTTGAAAGAAAACCACCAGATAGCAATTTTGAATAGAATCGGATCTTCATTACAAAACTCGTCCGCCATCTTGAATATCCCAATTATGACGAAATATTTATAATCTCCGACCCCGGAAATCCCCAGATACCAATTTTGATTTTTGAATAGAATCATAATTACAAAGATCGTTCGCCATATTGGATCTGTCATCTTGAATTTCCCAATTTCGACAAAAAATCATAAAGTTCGATCCAGAAATCCCTCAGATATCAATCCAGAAAAGAATCAGATGATAATAAGAAATTTCTTTCGCTATATATTGGATCCGTCATCTCGAATTTTCCAAGTTTGACGAAACAATCATTATCTCCAACCCCGGAAAACCCCAGATACCTTCAAATTTTGAATAGAATCGAATCATAATTACAAAACTCGTTCGCCATATGATCTTCCTCAACAAGTAAATACCCTGTACATACCTATTATTGAAATTTTGAATGATTTTCTGTAGCGCCCATGGATGTGACGTGATAGCAATGTCAGGGATGCCAGTAGACAAAACTAAAGTCTCTAGATCATTAAAAAAGAATGCAGCTATGATCTGTCCGTACCCTGTTGAGATGACTTTAACGTCAGTTTCCATCAAGGGACCCTAATTCGGCCGAGTTAGGTAGGTTAGGTGAGTTAGGTTAGGTAGTTTGGAAAAAGTAGTATCCTTCCTTATGCAGAAAAAGATATTTTTCTTCCTTATAAAACGTCGAACCTCGGGTCGATCGAAATTTGGGTGAATCGAATTTGGGGCGAATCAAAAATTGGATGAATCGAGAATTGGAAGAATCGAAAATTGGGTGAATCGATAATTGGGCCGAACGCAACCTACCCGTTATCACGACAAGCGAAGAAGGACGATTACTAGTTGAAATTATTAAAGTACGATTGAAGCCTAATAATCGGCAAATATTTGCAGTGCTACCTGTAGAGATACATACGGACTTCCGGATATGACTCACACATTTCGTGGAGAAGAAACAACGGCCTTATGTACATCGGAATACGCTGATATATCTCCTCTTCGTGAAGGGAATGTTGCCTTCGGAACACTGGAAGGTCGCCCTTCTGCTTACAACTTCGACGGAAGTCCTGAACTGCAGGTGAGATAATCTGATGATAATTCAAAATTTCGGTATGGATTTTCATCGAATATACAGGGTGTCCGTAAAGGTCATGTCGTGAACGATAGGGCTGATACAATGAGTCAAAATAATGTCAGTACTACATTTTAAAAAAATTGCTACCTTCGTTATACGGAATTTTTGACCTTGAATGTGTCTGTTATTGGGGTAGGGTTAAAAAATTTGCAGGAGGAACGGAGAGTCCAAAGATGAAGTCAATTACGTGAGATACGGGGGTGCTTCCGTGAAAAGTGCGACAAAATTTAATTTTTCAGAACTGAAAATTTTCAAGAAAAAATATGAAGAGTTAGTGAATTGGGCGTCCTGATCCGAATCCGAAGTGATTTTCAACCTATTTTGACTCCTAATATCATTTTCCAGAAATTGGGGTGGTTCCATGGCTGTTGGCGAGCAGTGTATATCACTGAAGATGACCCCACTTGGTCATAGAGTGCATTTTTGGTATATCTCTCGCTCCAGCAAATTTCATGATCCTTACCCAACGATTACGTGAGATACAGGGGTGACCCGCTTTCAAATGAGTCACTCTGTTTATCAACTCACCTTGACTTCCTCTATCTGCCATTAGGCTATGGCTGGTTGGTCATGACTCACCCTGTATATGTTTCTTATACCGTATCTCCTACTATACAGGGTGGGGCATTAGTGCGTCGGAGCTCGATTGCTCGAGTTCTATGATAGCTAGCAACTTGATTGAAAAGCGAATGTCAGTGAGAGAACAAGGTCCGTAACTAGAAATTATTGCCGCATATACAGGGGGCATCGGAAAAAATCTAGAGGTTCAGGATCACTTTTTTAAAATGGAATGCCCTGTATATTAGCACATTTTTTTAAGAATTCCTGTGACCCTTATCCACTCCTATGATATTGTTGATTATCTCTTGATTATTTCAAAGTTATTAATTTTGTTGTTGAAATAATGTCATCTGCAGATCCATACCGGAAAAATCACTGTAATCACAATTATGAAGTTTGAGAGATAATAATCATAATTTCATTTGATGGAAAGATGCGTGATATTTTTGTAGAATTCTCATGCCCTCAAATTATACAGGGTGGCTAAAAATGTTTTTTCAATACGAAACTTTTGGAAGTGATTTTTCTCGAGTTTTTCAAATGAAACACCCCATTTATCTTGGTGTAAATTCGAAACACGAACATCTTTCATTTCAACATCCATATTTATATTCGTAACCATTTTTGAATTATTGAACTTTGAAAATTCCAGGTTGGCCATTTTCATCGATACACATTCTCATCTGTTATTGGAACATCAATGAATCAGTAAACCAGTTTTTTTATTGAAAGAATTCAAATCGGAATTAAAGCAAACATGAGGAATAGTTCATGTGCTAGTAATTTATAGAGTGAAATAAAAAAAATTCCGTTTTCAAAATATCCCATAAATTCATATAACATTAAAAACAAAACCAGGATAGTAATTTACAATTATGCGAAATGAGAATTTTGTTTTTTCCCCTCTGTGGATAACTAGCATATGAACTATTTTCATTTGCTTTGATTCTGGTATCAATTCTTTCAATGAAAAAACAAGTCTATTAAATTATTGATTGAACTTTTGATGTTTCAATAACAGATGAGAATATGTATCGATTAAAATGGTCTACCTATAATTTTCGAATTTAAATAATTTCAAAATGGTTACGAATATCTATATGGATGTTGAAATGGAAGATGTTCGTGTTCGTGACACTAAATGGCCTAAAAATATATGAGGTGTTTCATTTGAAAAACTCGAGAAAAATCACTTTCAAAAGTTCCGAATTGAAAAAAACATTTTCAGCAACCCTGTGTAATTTGAGGGCATGAAAATTCCACAGAAATATCACGGATCTTTCCATCAAATAACATTATGATTATTATCTCTTGAACGACTTCATAACTGTAATTACAGTGATTTTTTCAGTATGGATCTGCAGATGATGATATTTCTACAAAAAAATTAATAACTTTGAATTGACCGAGAAATAGTCAACAATATCATAGGAGTGGATGGAGGTCACAGAACTGCTTCAAAAAATTTGTTAATATACAATGTGACCCTTCTCTTTCGTAAGCGTTGGGTAAGGGTCCTAAAATTTTCTGGAGCGAGAGATATAAGAAAAATGCACTCTATGACCTAGTGGGGTCATCTTCAGTGATATACACTGCTTGCCAACAGCCATGGAACCACCCCAATTTCCGGAAAATGATACTAGGAGTCAAAATAGGTCGAAAATCACTTCAGATTCGGAATCAGGACGTCCAATTCACTTGCTATTCATATTTTTCTTGAAAAATTTTCAATTCTGAAGAATTAAACTTTGTCGCACCTTTTACGGAAGCACCCCCGTATCTTACGTAATTGACTTTATCTCTGGACTTTCCTTTTCTCCTGTAAATTTCAGAACCCTACCTCAATAATTACGTGAGATACGGGGGTGCTTCCATGAGAAGTGAGACAAAATTTGATTTTTCTGAACTGAAAATGTTTTAGGAAAACTATGAATAGTTAGTGAATTTGGGCGCCTGATGCCGAATCCGAGGTGATTTTAGACTTATTTTGACTCCATATATCATTTTCCGGAAATTGGGGTGGTTCCATGGCTGTTGGCGAGCAGTGTATATCACTGAAGATGACTTGGTCATAAAGTGCATTTTTGGTATATCTCTTGCTCCAGCAGATTTCAGGATCCTTACCCAACGATTACGTACGATAAAGGGGTGTTTCCTGGGTCACACTGTATAGGGCATTCCATTCAAAAAAAGTGAACCTGACCCTCTAGATTTGTTCCGATGCCCCCTGTATATGCGGCAATAATTTCCAGTTATGGACCTTGTTGTCTCATTGACATTCGTTTTTGAATCAATCAATCAATCATAGAACTCGAGCAACCGAGCTCCGACGCACTAATGCCCCACCCTGTATACAGGGTAGTTCCTAACTACGGTTCTCAACTGCAGGGGGTGATTTGTTAGGTCATTTCAAGAAGATATGAAAATATGTCCGGAGTTGCTTCGTTTCTGAGATACCGGGCGTTGAAATTAAAGAAAAAAAAAACGGTAACCGATTTGGTTGAAATTTGGTTCTTTCAATTGTCAAATTCTCTTAAATTCCAGCATATCAAGTGTCAATTATATTTTTGGCGGAAATAATGAAAAACTCTTTTCTCCAATGCATGTGTTCATGATATGCAATACAGTGATTTTAATTGTTTTTCCATGAAACGAAGCTGGATATGAAAAAGATACATCAGACCAAGAAGTTGTATTTTGAGTTGCTTAATCTAAAAAAAAATTTGAATTCACCGAAAAAGTCACTAGCGTACTTTTTTTACAATATTGTTGGCTGTGGTGCCCCCTGAGATGCCTTTGGCCCCAATAATCTCAATCTAAATAGAGCCAAATAAGCGCCTTATTAGTTCAAATAAAAGTACCAAATTTCAATCAAATCGGTTCCAGAATATTCATGATATTTTGTAATGACCGTTTTTTTTTCTTCAATTTCATCGCCCTGTTTCTCAGAAACGTACAACTCCAGACATATGTTAATAGAAACTTTTCTTCTTAAAATGGCCTAACTAATCATCACCTGCAGTTAGGAACCGTAGTTAGGAAAGACCCTGTATTGGACTAACCGCCTCTGATCATCATTCGTTCCGTAGGACTGGGTGACCGCCACAGAAATCATGATCACCCTGGACCGCCTCAACACCTTCGGAGACGAGGTCTTCGGCGACCACCGGGTACTCAAATCCTACTTCTACGCGATCGCCGACGTCGCCGTGGGCGCGCGCTGCAAGTGCAACGGCCACGCGTCCGAGTGCGTCGCGACGTTCGGCTCAGACGGCGCCAAGCGACGCGTGTGCAAGTGCGAGCACAACACGGCAGGGGCGGATTGCGGCGAATGTTTGCCCTTTTACAATGACGCGCCCTGGGGCAGGGCCACCGCGACGAATTCGCACGAATGTAAACGTGAGTACTGAGTATTCGCGCAATGAGACGGCAGTCTGAATAGGAATAGTTATTGACACCGCGATTCATTCTCGAATCGTTAAGAAGTATACGCCAAACACGGATAAATAGATGAAATCACGAATGGTGGGGATGATAACTTGGCGGAATCATTGTCAAAGACTGTTTTTTCTTCCTAGATGTAACTTTCATTCCTGGTGAATCGGAATCTCTATAAATGTGTGTATGTACAATTACGAATATTTTTTTCTAATTCACTCGGCCGTTACTTGATGGAAATCCATGGCAAATGTGAAAACTTCACAAACGATAAGATTTCCACGAAATTCTCAAACACACATGTTTCATAGCTTCAGTAGCTTCATCAGGTGATATACTGGTACAATGAACTAAACTAACTTTTATATATCCTACTATCCCAACCTGAAGAATTAGTTACCTGTGGGACTGTGAACAGGTTCGATAAACTTTCATTTCCGGATATAAGGCACAATATCTACATTAAAATACGGTGTACCGGATTAACTTGAAAGGGTTGATAGTAAATACATAATATTACCTACTAAGAAAACAAATTCAACAGTGGTGTACTATATTGAGGTCTAGTTGATCGTTAAGTAAAATGTCAGCATTCTTGAGTTTGTTCATTTCTAATGATTCAAAATTATTGAGTTTCATTTCTCTATTTTCTACGTGTAAAATTTCGAAATTATCATCAGGACTATGGTTTTCTTCTAATATATTGTTCGCGTATGTTGAATGAATTAACTCTCACACATTGTAACATAACAATACGTCATTTTGTGACGTATCGGTGAGGTTATCCAATATTTTCAATATTTGAAACACGATTCTCTACGTACCTGTTGAATATCAGGTCACATAATTTATGTATCTTCCTCGATTTCTGCAATTGGAGAAAATAATCGAAGTAATGACCTAATCAGGAGGTAGGTATGTTTGTTAGTTCACTTTCAAATATGTTGTTAGGATTCAATAGAGTTAACAGCTACTTTGTTAATCGTTTGTAGAAAAAATACAATACATTCTTGTGCCCACTGATTTCCCCCTTTTTTTTAGTTATTCTCAGAACCTGGCTTGACCACTACTTTACTTTATCGAGTACAGGAATATAAATCGAAATGCCAATTAAATCTGAAGTGTATGTGTAGAAGAACGAATTTATAATGCTTCGAGTAGTAATTAATAGTCAACTGATAAAGCAGGGCAATTAGTATCGACTTATGACCATTTTCAGAGGGACGCATTGTCGGTCCAGTTCGGAAACTGCACCTATTCCGAACGTTCACCTTTTATAGCTCCTGTATTCATACGGTCAAACCTGTGGCATCAATTGTATAAATGAGACATGAGGTATATATAGTATGGAGATAATGAACGAAAATAACATGCCTACATATCATATAAAGAATAACTTCATTTCATAAAATACACTGTCTAGTTATTTATTCATTTATTTATTTATTTATTTATTTATTTATTTATTTATTTATTTATTTATTTATTTATTTATTTATTTATTTATTTATTTATTTATTTATTCATTTATTTATTTATTTATTTATTTATTTATTTATTTATTTATTTATTTATTTATTTATTTATTTATTTATTTATTTATTTATTTATTTATTTATTTATTTATTTATTTATTTATTTATTTATTTATTTATTTATTTATTTATTTATTTATTTATTTATTTATTTATTTATTTATTTATTTATTTATTTATTTATTTATTTATTTATTTATTTATTTATTTATTTATTTATTTATTTATTTATTTATTTATTTATTTATTTATTTATTTATTTATTTATTTATTTATTTATTTATTTATTTATTTATTTATTTATTTATTTATTTATTTATTTATTTATTTATTTATTTATTTATTTATTTATTTATTTATTTATTTATTTATTTATTTATTTATTTATTTATTTATTTATTTATTTATTTATTTATTTATTCATTTATTTATTTATTCATTTATTTATTTATTTATCTATTTATTTATTTATTTATTTATTTATTTATTTATTTATTTATTAATAATACATCCAAACAGATTGAAAATCCACTTACTGGAGTATATAACAATGAGTTTTGTGATAATATTGGTGTGCAAATGTTCACTACTCAATAATTAATTCGAAGTTTGTAGAAACAGAATTTTTCTAAATTGTGCTAGCGAAACGGAAAAAATGTCTACGTTTTCTAACCTATTTAACTGTCTACATATATCAAACAAAGGACTATGAAAATGATGGAAGGAATTTGGTACATCTAGGTATATGAAAAGTTATGTTCGATCTCGAAGTAATTCGCGGTACATAGAAATTAATCAATGATAGTAATTCTGATGAGTCGATGAGATTGTGGACGATTTTGTAAAGGAATGTAAGGTCGGAGATCTCTATACGCTTCCTCAAAGTTGCCAGCTTGAATTCATTTGATAGTAGCTGGTGATCATGATGAAGTACTGGGTATGTTCCGTGTTTTTAAAAATATAGGAACTTCAGAAACTTATGCTGAATTTTCTCTATTGAGTCGATATATTTTTTCTGGTATGGATTCCAAACAGTGCTGCAGTATTCGAGCATAGAACGTATTGAAGAAAAATAAACAGCTTTCATTGTTTCAATACAAGAAAATTCTTTGCTGTTGCGAATAACCAAGCCAAAGAGCCGAGCAGACTTTGATGTAATATTTTCTATATGTGGTGCAAATGTCAATTTCTTGTCGAAGATTACTCCCAGATCCTTACATTCATTTACCCGATCGATAATGATATTATTCAACGAATAATTGTGTTCCACCGGCGACAAAATTCTTGCATAGGTCATAACTTTGCATTTGTTTACGTTAAGTGGTAAATTGTTAGAGGTGCACCATTCAGTCAAAGTGTTGAGGTCTTTTTGCAGAATATTAACATCATGGTTATCACGTATGATTTTGAATATTTTCAGATCATCAGCAAAGAGTAGTTTGTCAGAGCTAATTGAGTTACAGATATCGTTGACAAATAACAATTAACTGTTACGTTATTCGTGTGCAGAAGCAGACACTGACACTATTTTTTTATGAACGGATTCATCTAACTTGAAAAAACACCGATTCATTACAAACTCATAACATTATTCCTTCTTCATATCAATGATCTGTTGGGAGTAACCACTTGCCCCATCCACAGCTTTGCAGATGATAGTACCCTCCATACTGCGTTCTCTTCCAGAATTCCCATTTCTTCCCAGGAAACTAAGAACTCACGGCGCAGGCAGGTCAATGCTGTCAATGAAGATCTTGCTGAAATCACAGCCTGGGGAACCAACAACCTAGTTGAATTCAACGCCACCAAAACTCAAGCCTGTATTTCCTCTAGAAAGGCGGAACTCAGTATGCCCGACATTGTAATGTCTGGCACCACCATCTCCACCAAGCCCACCATATCTATGCTCGGTATTTCCATCAACAACACTCTTTCATGGGATAATCATGTCAGATCCAAACAAACAAACAAACAAACAAACAAACAAACAAACAAACAAACAAACAAACAAACAAACAAACAAACAAACAAACAAACAAACAAACAAACAAACAAACAAACAAACAAACAAACAAACAAACAAACAAACAAACAAACAAACAAACAAACAAACAAACAAACAAACAAACAAACAAACAAACAAACAAACAAACAAACAAACAAACAAACAAACAAACAAACAAACAAACAAACAAACAAACAAACAAACAAACAAACAAACAAACAAACAAACAAACAAACAAACAAACAAACAAACAAACAAACAAACAAACAAACAAACAAACAAACAAACAAACAAACAAACAAACAAACAAACAAACAAACAAACAAACAAACAAACAAACAAACAAACAAACAAACAAACAAACAAACAAACAAACAAACAAACAAACAAACAAACAAACAAACAAACAAACAAACAAACAAACAAACAAACAAACAAACAAACAAACAAACAAACAAACAAACAAACAAACAAACAAACAAACAAACAAACAAACAAACAAACAAACAAACAAACAAACAAACAAACAAACAAACAAACAAACAAACAAACAAACAAACAAACAAACAAACAAACAAACAAACAAACAAACAAACAAACAAACAAACAAACAAACAAACAAACAAACAAACAAACAAACAAACAAACAAACAAACAAACAAACAAACAAACAAACAAACAAACAAACAAACAAACAAACAAACAAACAAACAAACAAACAAACAAACAAACAAACAAACAAACAAACAAACAAACAAACAAACAAACAAACAAACAAACAAACAAACAAACAAACAAACAAACAAACAAACAAACAAACAAACAAACAAACAAACAAACAAACAAACAAACAAACAAACAAACAAACAAACAAACAAACAAACAAACAAACAAACAAACAAACAAACAAACAAACAAACAAACAAACAAACAAACAAACAAACAAACAAACAAACAAACAAACAAACAAACAAACAAACAAACAAACAAACAAACAAACAAACAAACAAACAAACAAACAAACAAACAAACAAACAAACAAACAAACAAACAAACAAACAAACAAACCAACAAACAAACAAACAAACAAACAAACAAACAAACAAACAAACAAACAAACAAACAAACAAACAAACAAACAAACAAACAAACAAACAAACAAACAAACAAACAAACAAACAAACAAACAAACAAACAAACCAACAAACCAACAAACCAACGAACGAACGAACGAACGAACGAACGAACGAACGAACGAACGAACGAACGAACGAACGAACGAACGAACGAACGAACGAACGAACGAACGAACGAACGAACGAACGAACGAACGAACGAACGAACGAACGAACGAACGAACGAACGAACGAACGAACGAACGAACGAACGAACGAACGAACGAACGAACGAACGAACGAACG